AATAAAAATCAAAATAAATAAAAATCAATGAAAATTCAATTTGTCAGTGCAATTGGAAACATTGAAATGAATTCATAACATATTTATTATAACGTGTGTTGCTCATACGTGAAACAGATGGCGCTGTTTCTTTAAAAAAGAATGTTTTTACCTGTCACAGGTGTGACATCTATACCTATACTTATGAAATGAACGGTATGGTAAACAACACAGCTCAGTTCGAACGCAATGTCACACAAAATAATTAAATCATAATGAAAATAAATGAAAATCTATGAAAATTCAATATATCAATGCAATCGGAAACATTGAAACGGAATCGTAACATTTAGTATTGTGTGTGTTTCTATTACGTGCAACAGATGGTGCTGTTTTTCATAAAAGCATGTTTTTACCTGTCACAGGTGTGACATCTATATAGTAGATATATAAAAATATGCGTGTATTTAAACTGAAAGTTGTGCAAAAATTTCATAGCAATCGTATCAAGAACTTTCGGAGATTATGCGTGTGTTGCTCTTACGTCCAACAGATTGCGTTGTTATAAAAAAAACATATTTTTCCCTCTCTCAGGTGAGACATGTATACAGTAAGAATATAAAAACATGCGCCTGTTCTAATGCCACGTTGTGTCAAAATTTTAAAGCAATCGGTAAAGAGGTTTCGAAGATTTTCCTCCCATAAAATACAACAGTTTAAAAAAAGTATTTTTTTCTCGTCACAGACGTGACATCTATATAGTATGTATATAAAAACCCGCTCGGATGTAAATGAAACATTGTGTGAAAATTTCAAAGCAATCGGTGAAGAACTTTCGGAGATTACCGATTTAAAAAAAAAACAAGAATTTACATATTTATAGATTTGTGGAACATGAACAAGGCAAGAAACATACAGGTGAAAACTGAGTACCCAATTGAGCCACAGAGACATTAAAAATAATTTTTTCGTTGTCTGAGCAGTTAACAGATGGAATGCATTAGGCAGTGATGTGGTGGAGGCAGACTCCATACACAGCTTCAAATGTGGATATGATAAAGCCCAATAGGCTCAGGAATCTGTACACCATTTTATTGTCATTTGAGAGCTCAACCCCCGCAAGCACAGCTAGGTGAGTTCACAGTAACTTTTACCTACGCTTATGTCACACACAGTAACTTCTAACAACGTTTATGTCGCACACGGTAACTTCCAACAACGCCTGTGTCGCACACGGTAACTTCCAACAACGCCTGTGTCGCACACGGTAACTTCCAACAACGCCTGTGTCACACACGGTAACTTCCAACAACGCCTGTGTCACACACGGTAACTTCCAACAACGCCTGTGTCACACACGGTAACTTCCAACAACGCTTGTGTCTCAGGAACGTCCAACAACGCTTGTCGCACACAGTAACATTTAGCAACGCTTGTCACATACAGTAACATCTAG